TGATATGAGCAGAACTTGGTGTTTTATTTTGGGACTAAGAACATCTCTTTCAAAACATCTTTTCCCCTGAAAACAAGACAAGCCAGCAAGTGAAAATGAACTAGGTTGCTTAGACTAATTGATGGGGCGTGTGCACTAATTGAACACCCAGGCACAGAAATGTATGGACCATATTTGATGGGAAGTGAACTTTATATATCGAAGTAAATATTTGCTCAATAACTGAATATGCCATATGGGAATTATAAAAGAGATGGCTTGCTCGGCCTAACAGCTTGTCTTCCAGAAGCAATTATTTTTGGCTTAAATTCCTTTATGGGAAAACAAAACCTGTTTCTGGCTGGAATGGGGTGTTCCCCTCATATTAAAGATAAATATTGTGTGATAATGAGGCCCAGACTTGTCTCCTGAACTGGAATTTGATTACCTAAAGGGCACAGAGAGAACTTTCTCGATTTTGCTTCTTAATTGGATGATGTTTTTAATATTTACTTTCTCCTGTCCCAGACAATTTGGCTTTAGGTAAGGAAATGCACATCCTGTGATATGCGTGTTGGCTGAACAGACTACTGGACCTTTCCCTGTCTATTATTTGTTGTATGTTTGAATACTAACAGAATGTAAACTAAACAGCAAAATGTAATTAAGTCTTAGGGCTGAATTTTCTCATTTGCTGTCAAAGTGTGATGGCAAGTGAGTTTCACAGTTTCTGGTCTGCAGAAGTCCGAGGTGAGTTTTCTCATCTTTTACCATTCATGTTGTAAGATGGTGGTATAATGGAACTATCACTCAGTTAGTAACCCAGAGGGCCTGGGCCATGTCCTGGGGACCTGGGTTCAAATCTGGTTTTTGCAAATGATGGCGTTTGACTTCAATTCTTTTCAAAATATTTGGAATTAAGAGTCCAACAATGACTATGAAACCATTGCTGATTATCAGGAAAAACCCAGCTTTTGCTAAGGAAATCTGATGTTCTTACCTGATTTGGCTTGCATGTGACTCCAGACCCACATGATTCTAAACTTCCCTCTGGGCAAATAGGGGTTGGCAATAAATGCTGGCCTACCCAGTAATGCCCACATCCCATGAATGAATGAATGAAACAAATTATGCAAGCAAGATATTGGACACTTTCTCAGGGAATCTTGTGGTGTGTGAGATGGAAGTCTTCATCACTGGCATTACCTTCCAGCTTACATACCTCTGCCACCATGTTTAAAGCACAGCTAGGTACCATGTCAGACACTGAAAGCCAGGAACTCCCTTTCAAACAGGCACAGAAATGTATGGACCATGTTTGATGGGAAGTGAATTTTATATATCGAAGTAAATATTTGCTCAATAACTGAATATGCCATATGGGAATTATAAAAGAGATGGCTTGCTCGGCCTAACAGCTTGTCTTCCAGAAGCAATTATTTTTGGCTTAAATTCCTTTATGGGAAACCAAAACCTGTTTCTGGCTGGAATGGGGTGTTCCCCTCATATTAAAGGTAAATATTGTGTGATAATGAGACCCAGACTTGTCTCCTGAATTGAAATTTGTTTTTGAGTCTGAAAATACCTCAAAGGAAAGGCAAGCTAGCTCCTCCATAGTGGACAGAGATTTCAAAGTGTTGACTATTGTCCAATGAAGTCATTGTGATTTATGTGACCTTATCTAATTGTACTGTGGAAAAACAAATTTTTAATGGTACATTGGGCATAGTGTTCTGCCAGTAAGGCATCATGAAGCCACTATTCCTTCAGGAAAGAAAAGGCTCCCTTCCACATCACAGTCTTGCACACTTACAGTTCATTGTGCCAGTCTGGTAGCTGCAAAGTGTTGTCTTCTAGGACTTGCTGTGGAATTTGTTGACCGATAGGAACTTCAGATATCCTTGTTTCCAGGACATTTATTTAGCTTTCATGATAAAAAGACAATTAGTGAATATGATGTAATGCTTATGGTTACAACTTTAAATTTGCAGTCTTGGACAATGAATGACCTGAAAATTGAAACCAAAAAGAGCCATTACAAATTAGTGAAAGCATGATTACTGCAATTGCCCCTGGGGCCACAAATTCAAAATGTTTTTTTCTGCACTCCTGAAGTAAGAATCAGTCACTTACTCGATCCGCTTTTCACAGTGTCACAGCCATTTTGTGTAGTTATTGTCCATTTGATTTTCAATCTGACATAACAAGGTTCAATCTTGTGTTAGCGTGAGTAATTTGCTATTTTCACTTGTGACTTACAAATCCACTACCATCCTTCATGTTCCCTTTTGTATTTTTGTCCCTGCGCCCCCGATGATCTTTCAACTTTCCCCAGTTTTGGTTGAGCCTTTTCTATTGTGAATAATGTGCCTACTTTACCCTGAGCAGGTCTGAGAGCAATCATGGCAATGAGGTGAAACTAGTAATTTTCCGATGCCAAGCCATATGGATGAAGGGTCAAGAAGAATCTCTTGTACTATTATTATCATTGATTTGATGGAAAATGCTAGATTCACAATATTATTCCTTCTGCTATCTTCTATACCTCAAAAGGAGGGAGGTCGGGGCCTAGTGGTATTATTACTGGACTGTTAATCCAGAGACCCAGATAACATTCTGGGGACCTGGGTTCAAATCCTGCCATGGCACATGGTAGAATTTGAATTCAATAAATATCTGGAATTAGGAATCTAATGATGACCACGAATCCATTGTTGATTGTCAAGAAAAACCCTTCTGGTTCACTAATGCCTTTAGGGAAGGAAACTGCCATCCTTACCTGGTCTAGCCTACATGTGCCTCCAGACCCACACCAATGTGGTTGACTCTTAACTGCCATCTGGACAATTAGAGCTGGGCAATAAATAACCAGTGATGCCTTGGCCCATGAATGAATAAAAAAAAAGATAACTCTATTAAGATGCCTTTATTCAGGGCTAAAAGTCTATGCTTAAAATATGGTCCTCTATCACCAAAGATCAATCCTATTTCTGTCATATTCTAGCTATTACTTCATTTTAACCTGTACTTATTTCAATAACTCTTAATTTTTCAACACATAGGCATTTGGTAAGTTTTTAAAATGATATTAAAATTATATTTACCTATTTTAAAATAAAAGAGTTGTAGGATAGTGAAATATTTGCCTATTTGGCACATTACTTATCACTCTTGTTATGATAGTGATAAATATGGATGAATAAATTTGAACTTAAATTGTCTGACTGTTACATCTGAGACTTGTCATTGACTAAAATTTTTTAAAAGGATAAATACTAACCCAAAATGGCTCCTGTGATTATCTGACCACAGGTTGAGGCAGGTCTGGGAGCCCAATGCGGAATAAATGAAACCAGTGCAGTAAAATTACCATTTCAGCTAAAAACATTAAAAGAGATGACTGAATCATCACCAAGAAGTTCTCATCTTTTGTTTGAATCCACAATTATATACTAAGTGCACACACTTGACATTAAAGATTGCCTGCAATTTTTTACCTTTGAAAGGCAGTGGTGCCAAACTTGGGAATTTACAAATATACAAATATATTTCAGTAGTTGTTTTTGAATGGCAGGGCAGAGATAAGGAAAAATGAATTTGTAAAAGAACCAGAAGTCTCTTTCTTGCTCTGTTTCTCTCAGACTCTCAGAAAACATGGTTAGAAAGGAAACTGGGGAAACAACCATTTACTGAAACAATACATCACCATTGCTGAGGAAACAAGTGAACTGCAAAACAACTGTAGTATCAGGTTAAAAATCTACCACCTCAAAGACTGTAAGGGCTTCTAAAACTGTGACCCTTAATTCTTCCTGTCTATACCAGACATACTTTTTCCCCTTTAAAATGATTACCTGTTTTTGTGGGTGTTTTTGATGTCATAATTTTATTTTGTTTTTGAGTTTAGTAGGTAATAAAATTCATTTATTCTTTCACTGAAGAAGACCACATAAACAACCATTTCATTTTGATGAGTGATTATAGCTGTTTGCTAAAAGGAGATAAAATTTTTGTAATGACCAACCAACCAAGAGTGGAATAAAAAGGAAACCAAGTCATCCTTCTTCATTGTAAAAATGTCTAATAGGTCATTTATTTTTCCTACAATTTAAGCTATGCTATGTTCCCTATTAAATTTGGAGGAATGTTTTGCTGATTTTTCTTTTGCACCCTTTAATGTTTTAAACACATTCCATGATGACATGCTTCATATGCTTCATTCAAGATCATACAACATGGCCTTAAAAATATGACACTGGTGTAGTTTTTTGTTAATGATCCCACATTCGTCATCACCACCCCTTCTCAGTGTAAATAGATTGGCCTTTGTTTGGTGGCCAACGTGAAGACATGACATCCTCAGCTGATGGTGCTGGGAAATGCAAACTTGTCTAGTTTGTTGGTTGCTGTACGAATTTTGACTGTTTGTTGTAAATTGAAAGTAGAGAGACCTTGTAGCACAGCACCTTCCTGGTTAAGGCATGTTACAATTGCACCATGAACTGAAAACTTGCCTAATGAGGTCAGACTTCAACTCCAAAGACAGATGAGTGTTCTGTAAGCAGTTTGAAACAATGTTAAACTAACTTTTCTCCTGGGAACTTTTTTGTCAAATTGCCTTGGTTTAAACTGGAGCTGTGAGTTAGTGGACTGTAGAACTGAAAATACTATAAAATATGTACCGTCCCCAACTTGAACTATCAGAATAGCCATCCCTCCCCTCTGTCCCAGTCTGCACTGAAACTGTCCAGATTGATTCAGAACAAATGTCTTCTGCCTCCATTCTTCAAACATCCAGGGAAGGAATGTGTAAAGACGAGGATTTAGAATTCTCCGGTAGTATCGGGTGGGTGGAGAGACGGTGTGGACAGCTTCCTTTGCCATGCCTGGCAGGAAAGTTGGCAGCTAGCTGACCAGCAGACTTAAAGGAAGCATGCAAGACTTGAAAAACGTAGCTATAACACACTGCAGATGGCCATAATTGTTGAAGAGTGTGACTTCTGCCTTTCAGTAGCAGGAACTCCCATTCCTAAGATCTGATGGCCAACGCTGATGGACATTGATGGTGCTGCAACCAATCCCAACATGAAGAACACTTGAAACCTAAGACACAGGTAAGTGAGGAGCATTGGGCGAGGAGGGCCTGGCCACCTTAGGGAGAGGGAGGTCTGAGAAATGGGTTTTCTCGTCAGTCCAAGGATGAAAGAAGGATGGCATTGTCTTCTGTGGGTGTAGCCCTTTTAAGAGATTGGAAGGTTGAGGGTGAGATAGAGGGAGATGATATGAAGAGTGAGTTAAAAGATGGGATAGCAAGGGCAATTAAGGTGAAGTTTGAAGTTGGAAGAAAAGCAATGTTAGATATAGACCTATA